AATGAATAAAAATTTGTCGACCAAAAGTTTTGCTCTAATTTTAAAAACATTTTGTTCTGTTTTGGTATAGTTTTCGGGTCTTTCATATGCGTATCTAAGGCAATATAAAGTTTGGGCTTCAAAAGTCTACACAATTATTGGCTTTATACAGAAAATTCGCCCTTTTAAAATATTTATTATTTCACAAACAATACATGGATACAAAGTAAAATCATTTCTCAAAACACTGCAAAAAAATCATTCTGAATGGTTTCGTGGTATTGTCATAAAGTGCGTTCAATTGAAAGGTGGTATAGCAAACATCGAATTCGCTCACAAAATGTTATTTCACACTATAACACATTCTAGATGTGTACTCCACCGATACTCGACCAGTTCTCAACCTATGTATTCAGTCTAAACCCACACTTATGGGAATAGTTTAGACTAGATAAAGTATGGTTCAGACTTGGTCGAGAATGGTTAAGACTTGGTTTAGTATTTCAGACACGTTTTAAATGGTTCGGTACTGGTCGAGTACAAGTTCAGATTGTTAAGTATGATTTAAACTACAATTGAATAATATCGAGTACATTTCAGACCAATTCAGACTGGTTGAGTAAAAATGAATACAGTCGAGTATAGATATAGGCCATTTAAGACTTTATTGGTTTGTAGTTTAATTATATTGCATTTAATTAATAGCTGAAAATTTGCATTGACACCATATTCAACACAGTCGAAGTTTCATTAAAAATTATATTTCAGTGGATAATTTGAATGCTTATAAAAGACTGAATGATATTTTTGTTTATACTAGGACTTTTCATTTGGAATATCAAATAGTTATTTGCATGGTCATATATTGTTATAATGAATATCTTGCTATCTTCAAAATTTGCAGGGAGTCTTATATTTGAGTAAAACAAACTTTTGATTAATCATATATTAATTATACAGCTTTTTTAATATTCCTTAAATATAGATTAAAGTATGTATCCCAATCAACATTGTTCAGATGGAAATAATCCGGGTTGAGTATGATTACGAGTTGGTTGAATATGGGTCAGACCTATTTTCAAGTATGGTACAGATATTGAAAACCGGTTTCGAATGGTTGAAGTACTCGTCGAGAATGGGTTAATATGAATATGTGGTACGAATACCAATAAGACAACTCTCCATTCAAGTCAAAATGTATAAAAAGTTAACAATTATAGGTCAAAGTACGGCCTTCAACACGGAACCTTGGCTCGCACCGAACAGCAAGCTATGAAGAGCCCCAAAATGACTAATGCAAAACAATTCAAAAAGGAAAGCAAACGGTCTAATCTGCATAAAAAACGAGAAACGAGAAACAACTATGAATCACACCAACAAACGATAACCACTGAACAATAGGCTTCTGACTTAGGACAGGTGCACACAAATGCAGCGGGTTTTAAACTGATTTAGTCTGAAGGAGTACAAGCTTTAAAAAGAGGGACGAAAGATACCAGAGGGACAGTCAAACTCACAGATCGAAAACAAACTGACAACGCCATGGCCAAAAATAAAAAGACAAACAGACAAATAATAGTACAGATGACACAACATAGACAACTAAAGACTAAGCAACACGAACAAAAACTGGGGGTGATCTCAGGTGCTCCGGAAGGGTAAGCAGATCCTACTCCACATGTGGCACCTGTCGTGTTGCTTATGTTATTACAAATCCGGTAAATAGTCTGTTTCGGTAGGTCACATTCGTGAAAAGGGAAGGGTATTGTAGTTACGACATAAGGAACATATCCGATATCATCTGTGAAACGGTTATTCCATAACGGTCAACCAACTCGTGATGGCGTCCGTAAAATTTACGAAGGGATGATTTCAACTTCGTTATTTGGAACTCTTGGTTTAATAGCTTCCTTGTGAGCAGCAATCCTCTATCAAGGAAATCATGATAGGAAATACAACCCCGGGAATATCGTATTAGTTGGGAGATATATACTTGCTACATAGAAATGAAAAGTTCACAATTGGGAAGCTGAAATCATTTCTTTTGTGGTAAAGTTTTGTTTTCAACCGATCCTCATTGTCAATTTCTAGATGTAAGTCAAGATTTGAGGCAGAAATAACTGTATCTGTAGTATCCTTTATCTCTAGTTCGATGGGATAGATTCGTTCAACATAGTCACCAAATCTTGTATTATTTAGTGAGAGAACATCATCTATATAGCTGAACGTAAAGTTAAAGGATATTGCTAACTTCTTATTTTCTTCCTAAGAAGTTCCTTGATGAAGTCAGCCCTCATAATAATAAAGAAACAAGTCGCCAAGAAGAGGGGCACAATTGGTTCCCATTGGAATTCCGACAGTCTGTTGAAAAACACGTCCTCTAAACGTAACAAATATGTTGTCAAACAAGAAATCAAGCATCTTGATTATGTCAGTTTCAGATAATTTTTTGTTTGAATTTGAGTGATTCTTTTGAAGCAAAGTTTCGTTCGAATGTGATGAATACCTAACGGCTTTGTATAAATGGCAGCAAGTCATTAATAGAGACATCATGCAAAGTAGGTGATGTATAATGACGATGACCATGACTGCGTCTACGTCGAGGAGTAGAGTTGAAAATATTCATCACATTCACCGAGCTACAGGAAGGACTAGATAGAATACCTATACCATCAATTTTGTCATTGCAGCCATATGGTGTCGCAGTTCCCAATTGTCGAATCCAGTAGTCCTCTTTTTGTCTACGGAGAGGCGTTGCAAGTTGAAGATTGTTAGTCTTGTGGTATATTTTTTCGATAATACGAACTGTCATAGAAACGATGGAATGATCAGGCTGATTAAAATGCTGATACAGAATGTCGTTTGCATTGAGGTTTATATCTGATCTATGGTCGCACATACGTTTGTTTAGCATTCCTTTCGTTTCACCGACGTAAACAAATCCGCAAACGTTACACTCTAATCCGTAGACGACATTTATAGATCTACAATTCAGATCATCGTTACTTCTAGTAAAATAAGACTTTTTAGTTAAATTGCTAGTGAATTGAGCATCTGTTATTAAAATTTCATAAGTTTTGCAGCCATTTGTTCCACATTTCGAATTGAGACAGTGTTGTTCAGTCATCAAAATCCAAAATGTCTTTGAGGAGAACTGAACATGGCTGTGTATGTGTACTATTGCTATTGTCACTAGTATGATGATCTGAATGAGTCATGTTTGGGATATTTGACTTCATCCGAAACGCTCAAATTGGAATATAAAATTATGCAAACCCAGTATGTACAGGAACCGAAACAGTTAAAGAGCTGTATAACCAAGTAGGAATTAAGATAATAGCCAAATCCATATAAGGTCAACTTTAAAATGTTTGAGTAAGAATCAGTACAGTTGAGTACAAATACCGGCCATTTCATACTTTTACTGGTTTTTCGTGGGCGTAAACGTTTGACTGATTACTGATTGATTGATTACAATTAACTGTTGAAGACGTAATACTGTTAGTTTTCCTACCTTTTTTTTTTTTTATAAAGTCTCCAAATACAAAACTCAGAGGTTTGGAGCTTTATTGTGTTTTATCCGTTTCGTTGTCCGTAACTTTTTATGTCACCCGAATATTGGAGACTTACGTTATTATGTCATTTTGATCCTGCTTGATGACAAGACAGATGGTATGTCGATCTATCCTAAATTCTTGGAGTTGCAGGATTATTATTCAAGCGGTATTAGCCATTGGGATTTTATTTATTAATTTATCATCTTTTTGCGGTTTTCATGGCAACTGTATCTTTTTTCTTATAAATAAATTTCACATCTTTTCATTTCAGGTTGCCACCCAATAACATGACAATTGCGTCCCACAAAATGTGTTGACAATTCTTCTTACACCAACATTTTATCAATAGAACCACTGTGTGATACCGTTTGTGTTTTTTGTTTACACTTAGACTGTGCATATGGAATTATTTATGCAACGTCTATCACTTAAGGATGTACTTAGGTCAGGTTTAGGTTTTTTTGTCAGATATTCGGACTCCTTGATATTTTTCCTTACGATATCGCACCCATTTATTCTTTTCAAGATGTAAATTTTACCATGTTTTCTTTCAAAAATATTATTAGTAAGTAATTTTTGATAAGTATTGGTCACCGTGCTATTTTTGAAACTTCAAGTTGGGCACAACTGCAATTTTGCATAGATTATATATGAAAAACATGTGAATAAAAAAAATTAATGAGATAGAATTTTGAAATAAAATATTAGTAGGTAGGTTTTATGAAATGATTTGAGAAAATAAAAAGAAAAAAAATTTGTCACCGATATTTTATTCTTGCTACAAGTGAAAATTAAAATTTCTTTAAAATTCCTTTACAGAATTTTTATTATTAGAGTTATCTCCTCTTAAATGGTTCAGTTGAAAAATTGATTATGACAAAACAAAATATTAGGTATTTGTTAAAACAGTGTTAATAATGCAAAAGATAACTTAATGATCTTTATAAAAACAAACAGTCCTACATCTGAAATTTGTTAATCTGTCCCAAAATTTGCAGATCTTCTAAAGGAACTAGACCGATTGTGTACTGCTATTTGAAGCCTTGTATATATATATATATATATATTCTGTTATCCCTCTCAGATACTACATCTATTGTATAAAAAACATAAAAATAAGAAGACGTAAAATGATTGAAGATCAGACATCTATCTACCAGTGACCAAAGGACAGGAATATAAACAATAGGTAATCGTACGGCCGTCAATGATGAGCAAACTTCCTTCTGTAAATTAAGCTATTAAAAACATGCATTACAAAATTGAAAAAATTGCAATGGGAAGAGGGGGCCTGATTTCTTTTAAATAACAATAATAAGGATAAACCATCTGAAGGTGTCAATAATTAAACAGTTCTAGAGCACGTTTTCATAAAATAAATCGATTTCTAGGCGAAGAAAATTCAACGAATGTAATGTTGTTTTTTTTTTTGTTTTTTTTTTTAAGAAATTATAATATACTTACCTTTCTTGAACTGTTTTCTTATGTGTATGAACATGCATATCAAACATAGCAAGCATACTACCACCAAACATGCACATTGTATTCCAATGACAGCTATTCCTGGAAATATATAAATATTTACATTTGAATTTTGCATTTACTTCTTGCATCTATGACCACATGATTTTTTAGTAGAGTGCAAATACAATTTAGTCTTAAAGAAGAGTTTGAAAGATTGAAAAGTCAGCAGAAAAAATACAGAAGGACATTTTGTCTTCATAATGTATAATACACCTTTACGGATATTGTATGCATACTTTATGTTTCATTTTATATTTCAAAATTGTATTGCACTTGTATGAGTCTGAGGTTATGAATACAATCTACAAATCTAGAAATCTTTACATGTTGAAAATATGCCGCACCGCTCTATGTTTTGAACTTTGAATAAAATATTAGTACATATCAACTTTCCATTCTAGGATATGATTTTTTTTACGAAACTTCATAGTAAAAGTGGCATAGTTTTTAGCCGCAAAGGGAGTTCCTATTGGAAATTGAACTGTCAATATTTACAGAAATGCAACCTATATTGGGTGAAAAAAGAGAACCAAATATGGTTTATCTCAGTGATTTTAATGGAACTAACTCAAATATGAAGTTTTATGAATATTTCATGACGATTGAGAAAATCCTGTGCCTTAACTATGACTAGTCAGCATAAATTCACAGTTTACAGTATGCATAGTTTACTTAAAGCCCTATATGCAAAATAAATTCATAATATATGCATATTTATAATTTGAATTGTTTAGAAGTGCTTATATTTACTCTTCGCAGTCATTGAAACTTCCTGAATATTTTTGGTGGTGTTTTTGTTCTGTCGATAACCCAAAAATAAGCCGTAACACCTCCATGTGCTTTTTTGTGACCGCGGCATAAAACAAATACAAGCTAGAACTACAAAAATACCTCAATAAAACTAACAATAGTGTGTTCTATTCTAAATATGTACTACATATTCCATATTCCTAAAAAACAGCAGAATTATGTAGCAAATTTGAGGCCCCGGAGGCAAAAAACAGAGAAAAATGCCTACCCCTGAGTCATAAAAAACAGATAATTTAACCTGTAAATGCTGTGCTTTTATTAATTTAAAGGTCTTTTTGTTTAGAAAACAATAACTGTGCTTGGAAGATATGCAAAAATCAGATATTAGCAGTCAGTTTAATAAAACTTTTAGTGAAAACATACATCCGACTGGTAACTTCATACATACAACTTTTGCAAATATGGCTTTGTTTAAACACCTCTAGTTCATATATTAGATACATTATGTTAGATATATGGTTAATGATGATATTGTTGTGACAAGATTTCTAAACTGACCATTTGAGGCGGACATTGTGAACTTTCACTGACAAACAGGCGTACAGTCAGATGTGCACTGGAGATAGAGGAAGGCTTGAATACTTTATATTTTCTTGAATGTTGGAATGATTAACTACTAAACTTTACATTTATAGTATTCTGAAATGCTTTCAATTTGTTATCAAAATAGTTTCAAACAGGTTCTAGACATTTCTTGTCAGGACACATGAACATAGGGTAAGCTGGCAATAGTTATAGTCTTGTTTTTAAATTCTTTTAAAATTGAAACAGAGGTGGGGGTATAAAATGTACTGTGAAAGAAAAGTTAGAATATATGCAGTGATTTCTTTTAGGCTATAATTTTAATAAATAAGTATTGTTGTGAGAAAAAAGTGTTTTTCGAGAGTTTTCTTTTTTGAATAAATGTTAGTATAAAGGTATTTTAAATACGTTTTTTTGTTTTAGGTCACGTACATTCATTATCTTATTTATAATGTTATTATTTTAGTAAATACTAAAATAGTATTTGTAGGTTGCATTTTGATTGCTTTAGATCGTTCAATGATTCACTTTGCACTATGCCGGTAAAACAAGTTGCAGCGTAGTATACAAAGATGGATAGCCAGGTCTTTGTAAAATTTGTGCCATATAAGATGAAAGAAACTTTTTTTCATATGTGCATGAAAAATGATAAATTACCGGATAATGATAAACATTTATTTGGGCATCATACCATATAAGATGGAGATTGCATTTACAGGACATGTTTTGTAAAGATCATGCGGGACACACGTTTATTTTGTGATGATATAAATTACCCTGCTGAACGCAGAGGATGAAATCCAGTGAATATGCAAGTTGTGTTTTGCAGAGTCTTGTTTACTTGCATCTTTACATTGTAATATTCAATTATGTAAATTTGCTTCAGTTGAGTCGAATAAGTTCAGGACTTCCTTTAGGAATTGTTATTCTTTAGTATCTCCCTGTTTCCAACAATGTTAATGTTCATGATGCAAATATCATTAAAGAGAGTAAAGGTAATGTGATAAATGATATTGCATATGTGACAAGCTAGACTTTTAAAAACTTCAAAAACAAATTGTAGTCCTTTTTACAGATAAACAAGACCCTTTAACCAGTGCATTACAGAAGAATTAAATGCTGACAGAAATAGAATCAAGAAGCATGATAGTATGTTTGAACTTCTACAGATCATACAACTTGTTTTCAAAATCTGATAACCTCACTTCAATTCATACACATCCAGATAGATTTTTAACAGATTTTTTACAGCAGTTTAAAGAAATTTATCTTGAATCTATCCAAGTCACTGACATTGCTATACATAGATTATGACACTGCATCGAGTATGATACGATATTTCTCCATTCGAAGAGTTAAATTTTCAAATGTTAAGCGCGAGGCTCGCTGAAGACAGTTACTGAGATCAAAAGTTGAATAAATGAAAAAAATCAACAGTTCGGAAAAGAACAAATCAGACTATAATTAGAAAAACAAAATTTCAGAATGATTTTGGAAGAATCGTTAACAACTTTTTGACTTTTAAACCAATCTTATTTTACCCTTTAATACTCAGTATGTTGCAAAGATGTACAATTTTTTTAAACCTGTCATTAAATTTAGAAAGTGAAAAGAGAAATAATCAAGATATCCGGTGGATATTTTGAATGCTTGCGTCTTAACTTTTGGGTGTTAGAAGGTAAGAGGTCATGTAAGATAATATATAGAGTAGATACAAACGTCATACGTTGTGCAAATTCAAAGCCTATTGCACTAGTAGCAAAAGTTTAGTCTGAAACGGACGTTTTGGTATTATCAAGTATTAATCGACTGAATTGTATTATATTGTTTCATACATCAAACTTATTCGTTCAGTGTATTTGTTAAATTTTCTTTTTAATCGAGTTAAGCAATTTCAATTGATATTTTATAGAGTGTCTTTTTATATTGTAACGTTATGCTACTGTCTCAGGTTAGGGTGAAGGTTAGCACCTGTTAAAACGCTGAAACCCGCTGCATTTTTATGTACCTGTCCTAAGTTAGGAGCATGTTGTTCCGTTGTTTTCGTTTGATGGTGTGCTTCATAGGTGTTTCTCGTTTCGTACATAACAAGCAGGTTTGTTTTCGCCAATTTCCGCGTTTTTTTTTTGCATACGCACGTTTACTTGCATTACGTTATGCCATCAGATTGGACATTTCTTATGTCTACTGGATTAAACGCACTTTTACGTTCTCTCTGTTAAGAAAGTAGTATACAGATTTTGCACTTGAAAATATACGCGCCTTTACCGCTCGCGTTAACTATTGGTTAAAGTAATAAATAAACTACCATTAAAACGTTTAAACCCGCTGCAATTGTTTGCACCTGTCCTAAGTCAGGAATCTGATGGTCAGTAGTTGTCGTTTGTTGATGTGGTTCATAAGTGTTTCTCGTTTCTCGTTTTTTATATAGATTAGACCGTTGGTTTTCCTGTTTGAATTGTTTTACACTAGTAATTTTGAGGCCCGTTATAGCTTGCTGCTCGGTGTAAGCCAAGGCTCCATGTTGTAGGCCATACTTTGACCAATAATTGTTATTTTTTTACATTGTTACTTGGATGGAGAGATGTCTCATACCACATCTTCTTATTTATTTGTACATGCAAAACTCTGGATTTCTATTTCATAATTGTTATTTGTGCACTTTGAAGAAAATAAAATGTTTAAACTCAAATCCTGGATTTACTTTTGATATTAATCTGAGAGATTATAAAAGACATATCTCACAAGAACTTCGATGATGTTTGCAAAATGAGACCAATAACAAATTAAAGAAGAACATTTGATTGAAATGAAAGTAAAACAACTTATGAAAATCTTTCAACAAAAAGTTGAAAAAAAAACCCTTATTGAGTTGAGTAGATGAAAAAAAATATTAAAGGATTATAGGTAGAACACGACACACGATTCATGAGTTCCCATGTTCATCAATTAAAACAGGTTCATCTATTTGTTTCTATTGTTGCATTCCGAAGTACACCGCGTTGGCTCTGATCGTTGACCGTTCAGCCAACAATATAACATGTTTTGCAGGATTACACAAATCGAAAGCAAAAAAGAAAAAAATAATTTAAAAACTTAGAGCATTTCTTAAATTCAACACTTTTTTTTAAAACACCAGCATGAACCCAACAACCTCATTCGAGATTGATATTTACTTCTTTTCCACAAGCACGCATTGTTTATGAGTTAAGTTGGAGCATATGTCTCTAATTCACAACAATGTGTCCTGGGAGACATGGCATATTGTCGACATATTTTCACCGTATCAGACTAGAACAAAGCGATGCATATCCATGTCACAAATGTCTTTCTTCTCGACATAAATGTTTTAAAAGTATAAATAAAGGTTACAATTGTAGCGTAAAGAACTGCATTTGAAACTAATGTGCATCTAGTTTGCTGTTCACTCAGTTGAACATCTACGTTGTCAGCGATGTGTAATACTTGACAATGGACATTAATTTTACCATCGATACAATACATACAATTAATGTATTTCTATCAATACTGTACTTATATTTAATTACTTTTGAATCTAACAGTAGGATACAAATAATTTACTTAATTTGCATATGTTTTTAATTGAAATTAAAATATTATAAACTGCTCCCGAATATGAAGACACGTGAGTTCGTTACGTTATTTCATAGCTCTTTGATCAATTCCGAAAAATTAAGCATGTACCTTGTTTATAATGAAAAGCAAAACTACTATGAAACAGAAATATAAACCGAAAATTAGATTCATAATTATGTACTATTTTTATCAATCATTTTTAACTTTAGTGTATTTTATTTCTTTTTCTATAATATAATCGGAGACATATATGGTTATTTTTTTAATATTGATGTTTGGGAGGAGGAATAAATTCCTTAAAACTGTGAGGGTCTTATACTGAAGCCTGAATTACAGGAAACAAGTGATGACAGGGATTCATTTTATGTATTTTCATCAATGCACTCTGGTGAAACTGTCTTCAACTTTCTTATCCAAAATCTTTCTCGAGCAAGTCTGTTGACCCTTGAACAACCCGCGTTGTGGTCTATGATAGTGATGGTAAGGTTTTTGAGATCAGCTTTGGCGTGCCCAGATGATCTCAAATGATATTCCATATTTACCAAACAGAAGCCTTATCAAATATATTAAACACAAACATCGATCGTGCTTATTTTACTGTATACATCTAGATGATTGTGATATTACTTTCATCTTAGTTAAATAATAATTGTTACTTACTGAAATCAATTTCAACAACAAAATTTTCAGGCGTGTCTCCTGTATGTTCACAAGTCCATTGCATTTCATCTTCACTTGATTCCAATTGTATAAAATCAACATTTATCGAAGAGTCATCTTGACTAAAACTATATGATTGAGAAGTAATCTCTGAACATCCAAAAGTTTTTGAACAGTTTGACATCAGACGTCCTTGTTTTCTCCAACACGATGGCTTATTAAATCCAGGAATTTTACATTTTATACCGTATGAATCAGAATTCAAATCATCATCTCCTGACGATTTAATAGTAAGTCCTACAATGAAAGAAATATATTGAACCCATGTCATTATAAGCATAAATCTTAAACTATGTCTGGTCGTTTTGTTACCTAAATACAGAAGGGGCTAACAGAGAAACAATAAAGATTTTTAACCTTTTATATAATACTATAATGCAATTAGCCTTTTTTTTAATGTATACGATATTATATTCAGGTCCATATGTTTTCTTTTTGGGAAAAAACGTAAAAGGGTGCGTAAACTTGAAATGTATATGTAGGTGAGATAGATAGTTACATGTACTGTATAGGCGTGACATGTTTTGAGAAAAAAAACATGGTGTTTTTGGAATCATAATATACAAGCGCGATAAATAACAAAGTTCAGTAACACGAAGATATTGATGCTTGCTTAGGAAGGCGAATGTTGTCGTGTTTCGTTAATTGGTATTAAAAGATAAGACTGAATGTAATTTCGATTATCACATTTTTATACGCCAAAAGCGTCAATCATGTTTCCGTATCTGAATAAAAGTCAATTAAAATAGCAATGCTGGTATGTCTTTTCAGTGGCTGTAAAACAGGGGGGCGAAGGAGACAAGGGGACATTCAAACTCACATGGCAAAGCCGTGACAAAAAAAAGACAAACAACAGTATACGAACAACATAGAAAACCAAGGGCTGATTGAAACGAGCCCCGACAAAAACTGGGGTGATCCGGAAGGGTAAGAAGATCCTGCTCTACATGTGGCACCCGTCGTGCTGCTCATGTTAGCATAAACCCGTTGATATGTCTAATTCGTAAGATCACATTCGGTGCAGAGAATGAGATTTTAGTTACGACAATTAGAACATATCCGTCAACATCTGTGAAACAGATATTCCATAACGGTTAACCAACTTGCGATGGCGCCCGTAAAGTTAACGAAGATCTTGATTTAATTGCAACCTAGTAAGAAGCAATCCTCTATCAAGGAAATCGTGATAAGAAATACAAGCCCTGGAGTATCGTATCAACAGGGAGATATATACTCCGTATGCAGGCACTGCTGGAATGATACTACATAGAAAATGAAATCGGGCATCTAAAATCATCTCTTTTGTCGTAAAGTTGTGATTTCAACCGACCCTCATTGTCAATTTCAAGATGTAAGTAAAGATATAAGGCATGCTTAACTGTATCTGTTGTATCCTTTATGTCAAATCGGATGGGATAGATGTGTTCAACGTAGTCACCAAATTGTGATTTTTTAAGTGAGAGAACATCATTTATAAAGCAGAATTTGAAATATAGGAATATTGCTAACTTCTTTTCTTTCTTCCTAGTAAGAAGTTTATGTATGAAGTCACCTTAATATGTAACGTAAAGTAATAAAAAAATAAAGCATGGTCTTTTAGCGTTCTTCGGGAGAGAAATTGTCGCACACTTCATCGATATTTCGAAATCCGGATTAGTGATTCTGATGAGTTGAAACAATTTTCTTGAGCATGAAGAAAAATGAAGCTACATAAATAGCTATTATCTTATTCAATGTGGCACAATTATACACAACCAGTGGCGTAGCTAGGCCATTTTTAAGTGTTCGCCCGAACCTCGGCGAAGAGTCTGTAGCTACTCAGTTGCTTCAGTGCGACATCATGGTATGGGGATTTTAGGCAGATGAAACCCCCATCCCAGAAGCTCAAGCGTTATTGAGAAAGATATACTATTTTTGACATTAAAAAACTTATCAATAGCAACACACTTAAGAGTCTTATATTTTTGATGGTTTAGTGTTTGATATATTCATTGTTATACAACATAAATGAGATGTTGCTATAAAAGGCCTCAACATGAAAAAAAAAAACGAAACATTTTGAACTAGAAAGCTAACTTCCTAATTTATAAAGAGACAAACAAAAAACAAATATGACATGAACCAACGACTACCACTGTTCTACAGGACCCTGACTTGGAACAGATACATACAGAATGTGAAGGGGCAAAACATATTTGTGAGCGCCTAATCCTTCCATAACCTGAAACAGTGGGGTGACAGCTCAACATAAATACAAATTGTAAAAATCAGTTGCCATTGGTGTAAATCAAAAGATCAAGACGAACACAAAAAATGCACACCTACATATAAAAACAATACACAAAAAACGTTAAAATAAGAGTACTCGCAGTAACTAAAAGCTTCGTAAATTCAAAGCCAATTACAACAAAATGTTGATTTGGAATCTTATATTTTCATTGGTTTTAAAGAAAGATGTCCAAACCAGTTACTTCTGTATCTCTTCTACCTCTTCCTTTTAAATAGGTGGTTTAGACGGCAGAGGCACATAACAAACATGGCGTCGTTTAGTCTAAATAATTAATAAATTTAAGAATGTAGATGTAACTGAATATGAACTGTGTGATAAACATTTTTATGGTAATGCAACCTTAGGAGAACATCCCTGTAGGATGATAAACTGGAAAATATTATAACTGCACGGACAATAACAGTAATGGAACGACTATTTGATGTTCTGGGGAGGAGGGGCAGGAGTTTTTATGCCCCTATCGTAGCAGAGGGGGTATTAAGTTTTACCTTTGTCCGTCTGTACGTCCGTACGAACGTACCGTTGGGTGCAGACCAAGCATTACATGTAGACGAGCCGAAAAAGTTAACGCGGCGTTTACTCGCGTGCACTTCAGGTTAACGCCGCGTTAACTGTGCGTTAACTCCGAAATTTCAGTAGACATCAAAAGTAAACGGGCGTTTACTTTCGCGTTTACCTCCGCGTTAACGCAAAAACGGCGCGTCTTCTAATTTTGTAAAGAGTAAACAGGCGTTTACTTTCGCGTTTACTTCCGCGTTAACGTGAAAAAATGCGCGTCTTCTATTTTCATCAAAAGTAAACGCACGTTTACTGTTTGTAGTAAACGCGCGTTAACGCAGATTGTCATCGTATCCTGGATACACTGACCCAAAATATTAAATGATAAGGCACATCAAAATTAAATGACCAACTGGTCATTTTCGATTGACATATTGACGAATACAGTTAATTAATAATGTAATCACACTTCTTTAATGAATTGAAAATTAATCATAGTAAATCTCTTGTTCTTCACAAATAAATAGTTCAAATATGTCCTTTTATTCAAATAATTTAATCATCACCAAAATCAAACAGTTTACACATCTCAGACAGGCTGACTCAGGATGACTCGTAAAACAAAATTATTTGATCTCATTTACCAAAACTGACCATATTTGCCCTTTATCAAGTTATCTATATAGCCGCGTAGTAATTCAGTTATATCTTTATGCCATTATGGACCGTAAAATACAATTGACAGCAATATTGGAACCAGCATGACCTCTTTTTGTTCAAAATATTGAATCGTAAACAAATTTCAGTAGTTTTCATACCTCAGACTGACTCTTATAACAACAGTATTTGTCCGCATCAACCAAAACTGACCATATTAGCACTTTATTATGTAAATCTTATAGTAGCATAGTAAATCAGTACTATTTTCATGTAAGGATGGATAATATAAAACAAATTATAGTAATATTGGAACATAATGACTACAAAAGATTTTCTGCATCAATTAAGAGTACCAGCATGTCCTCTTTTTATTCAAAATATTGAATCATAAACAAATCTCAGTAGTTTCATACCTCAAACTGACTCGTATAACAAAATTATTTGTCCGCATCAACCAAAACTGACTATATTAGCACTTTATTATGTAAATCTTTATAGCCGCAGAGTAAATGAGTTATATTTTCATGTAAGGATGGATTGTATAATACAAATGATAGCAATATTGGAACACAATGACTACAAAATTTTATTCGCATCAATTAAGAGTGCCAGCATGTCCTCTTTTTATTCAAAATATTGAATTGTAAACAAATTTCAGTAGTTTTCATACCTCAGACTGACTCGTATAACAAAATTATTTGTCCGCATCAACCAAAACTGACCATATTAGCACTTTATTATGTAAATCTTATAGTCGCATAGTAAATCAGTAATATTTTCATGTAAGGATGGATTGTATAAAAGAAATTATAGCAATATTGGAACATAATGACTACACAAAATTTTCTGCAACAATTAAGAGTAACAGCATGTCCTCTTTTTATTCAAAATATTAAATCGTAACCAAATTTCAGTAGTTTTCTTACCTCAGACTGTCTCGTATAATAAAATTATGTGTCCACATCAACCTAAACTGACCATATTAGCACTTTATTATGTAAATCTATATAGCCGCATAGTAAATGAGTTATTTTTTCATGTAAAGATGGATTATATAATACAAATGATAGCAATATTGGAACATAATGACTTAAAATTTTGTTCGCATCAATTTAGAGTGCCAGCATGTCCTCTTTTTATTCAAAATATTGAATCATAAACAAATTTCAGTAGTTTTCATACCTCAAATTGACTCGTATAACAGAATTATTTGTCTGCATCAACCAAAACTGACTATATAAGAACATTATTATGTAAATCTTTATAGCTGCATAGTAAATGAGTTATATTTTCATGTAAGGATGGATTGTATAATACAAATGATAGCAATATTGGAACATAATGTCTAAAAACTTTTCTTCGCATCAATTTTGAGTGCCAGCATGTCCTCTTTTTATTCAAAATATTGAATCGTAAACAAATTTCAGTAGTTTTCATACCTCAGACTGACTCTTATAACAACTGTATTTGTCCGCATCAACCAAAACTGACCATATTAGCACTTTATTATGTAAATCTTATAGTAGCATAGTAAATCAGTACTATTTTCATGTAAGGATGGATAATGTAAAACAAATTATAGTAATATTGGAACATAATGACTACAAAAAATTTTCTGCATCAATTTAGAGTACCAGCATGTCCTCTTTTTATTCAAAATATTGAATCGTAAACAAATGTCAGTATTTTTCTTACCTCAGACTGACTCGTATAATAAAATTATTTGTCCGCATCAACCTAAACTGACCATATTAGCACTTTATTATGTAAATCTATATAGCCGCAAAGT